GTTATCTGCCAGGGATGTTCATGTGTGCGCTTGCATGCAAATGAGGTGTGTGTGTGTGTGTGTGTGTGTGTGTGTGTGTGTGTGTGTGTACTGATGGGATTTTGTGTGTATGTGTGTTCCAGCAGAGGGAGCTGTGTAGGCCCATGTCACTGTAAGTGCTCTACATGACCATCTGGCTCTCACTGTCAGACTGGATGCTGATCTTACAGTTAACTCCCTCACTGCCATAGTTCCCTCACATCCGCACATTAAAAAACTGTCCATGAACAGATGCCATATTTGTCTCACTGAGAACAGACAGACATAAGCACATTTTTTGCCATTATTATCATAGAAACTGAATTGCCTAACAGTGTAGAGCGCAGAATCATAGATATAAAAGATTGATGATACATTGATGGAGACGCTGTGTGACTCTGAATCTTCTCTGGCAGCAGTATGCTGACCAGATTGTGTATCTGCTTCAGGCTGTGGAAGGAAGAAAGCAAATGGTTAATTTCTCATTCTGACTGCTGATGCAGTGTTCCAGCTGAACCCCTTGGAGAGTCTCTCGTACTCTCTCTCCTCCTCTCTCGCTCTCTCCCTCTCTCTACCCCCTTCTCGTTCTGTCTATCTCTCTCACTCACAGACACACACACACACACACCTACAAATACACACTCTACTGTGGTGCTTGCCATTCTTCTGAGTAGCCCGATGCCCTCTCTTTAATTAGGCTAATTGAAATGCGAGAATAACCATTTTCTTGATTGCTCATTATTTTTGGGCAGTTTAAAATGAAAAGCATGCTTATACATGCAGAAGCCAAGAGAGGCAGTTCTTACCTCTCTCCTTGGATGACCCCATTGTCTGGTGCAGATGAGTCTGGCCTCTGCAGACCAGGGCCCGACAGCCTTACCCTTGGCCTTGGCTTCTGCTGCTTGTCACTTGTGACTCCTTGCACCTTTGGCACTTCATTTCCACAGGGAGCGTCCCCCGCCTATGGCCTTAGTGTTGTTAAGCATGAGAGTCAAGTAGGATTTTCCAGACATCCTTGAGACAAATTGTAAGAGACGGTTTTCGCCTAAGTGCTCTTGGCAGGTCTACAGGTGGTTGGGCGGCTTTTCCTTCCTTGTTGGCCACTCTGTAAACCCCCAAGCGGACCCACTGTTGGCCCTTAGCTGTGACAGAAGCCTCCCCAGGGCAGCCTGAGCTTATAGTACTACGGAGAAGAAAAAGAGAAGATTTGGTAGAGAGAGATGCCAGAGTGCATCAGCAGAAAAGAGCTGAGGAGTGTATGTGAGTGTGTGTGACAGCCTGAGAAAATGTTCATATGTTTTGTGTCTCCCAGACAAGGAGGTGAGTCATTCCCTTGACACAAACATACACTTGTATACTAATGCATCCTTCCAAACATGCACACGCATATACACACACACATGCAGTCTCATATATACAAACACATCCAGTTCCAGACCAGACTACATGCGATCCCATGCTCATCATTAGCCCTGCAGAAGTGGCTGCAACAGCGTACTGTAATATTTACCTCATGATGTGACTTCAAACATTCATCATAAGTGCACATTATACACATATGGAGTCATTTGCCTTCGAGGAGCTGTGTGATTTCCTCATTAACTTCTCGAAATGTAATGAGTCATTGAACCAAGTTCTGTGGCTCTGTTAATTATGGCCCCGTTTCAGCAGCTCTCTCCATGGCAACCTAAAGTTCTGCCTGTCACCACATGAGAGATGAGGGAATAAAGACATTTTCCCATTATGCTGCCACCCCAGCGTGCATATTTCTCCTCAAGACAGGCCTGCTGAAGGTTGTGCTGCTGATCTTTTAGCTCCCTCTGCTGAAAAAGAGAAGAATATCAAGTTAGTTCTGCTCTGTATCAGGATGAGGAGATGTGACTAAAGTGATTGGCCTTAGCAGAACAGCAACATCATCTTCACATGTTTAGGTTTATGAGCAAATTAGATAGTCTTGTGTGGTAAGTGAGGTTGGGTCTAAGGGGTCAGTGTTCCTGCACTGAGAGTGGGTGTCCACATGTTGACCTCACTGAGATCAATAGTTGACACTGTCGAGCATCTTGTATTTTGAGAGCTCAGTGGCATCAAATTGAATATCATGAGGCTATTAGCATGCAAATGAGCTGTTTCCACTCATTATTGTTCTGACAAACAAGCGTCTGTTAATGGGTGTGTGTTTACATTGCACCTACAGTACGAAATGAGCTAGAGCTAATGAATGTAAATGAGCAGAGTTCATAGTGGAGTGTGGTGAGGGGCGACCAGTTTGCTTTTGGTGATGTGAAAGTCAAAATTAACTGTTCACAGGCAATGTCAGAAATAAAAGAAGATGGATACGTGATGTTAATTGCAGAAGGCAGTTTCTCCTCGTGTTGCTTTTACCCTTTTGTTGTTTCCTTGTAAAGCAGCTAAGGCTTAAAAACAGGTTATTGCCCTTCAGCTCTTCCTCTCATGTGACAGAAAATGACACTGAGCTCTGGATGCAGATCAAATTTCTGCATCCCCAATTACAAGCTTCTGTGTCGCGTCTAAAGTGGCCCACTGGTGAAGCTGCCAAATAAAACGTCTAGTGAGAGCTCACGACTTTCACATTATTTGTTTCCTCTCATCGTTGTCTGCATTATTTTTATATTTATCAAAGTATGAACAAGGGTCAGCTTCATCATGAAAGGTTGAACTCCCACCGGCGCAGCAATATTTCTTTGAAGATGAGTGTGATTGCTCTGGATGGCACTGTATTTACTGGTAATAACCATTTTCTTTTAAAGGGTTCTGTGGACGAAAGCCAAGACAAAATAGAGACTTCAATGTAAGAGAGCTGGCAGAACACTTCACTGCGGGAAACAAGTGCTCAGGTCATGGACTTGGTTTGTCATTCCCCATAAATGTACTCTTCCGCTGCTTGAAAACAAGATAAAGGATGACTCATGACAAATGACTTTTTCACACTTGCCAGCCGACCACTGCCTGTGGCCTCTGTGCAACCTCTCCTGCTGAAGTGTGTTTCCTGGTGTCATGCAGGGTTTATTTGTTTGTGAACTTATTTTTGACAGATAGTTCTGGGTGAAACTGCCTCGCCATTCTTACAGTGGTCAGGTATCAGTGAAGGCTAAGGTGAAACTTCGAGGCAACAGGAGTGATCTATAACTGGACTTGTGTCTGTAGATTTTCTTCTGACCTCACTGAAACCCAAAACATGGGGAATATATAATATTGAAGTCATGACCCTTGTCCTTGGCACAAACTGTTAAGGGTCGTTCACGGTTGCTGCATCTGTGTGTCCACAGTGCACACAACTAATGGTTGTTTTGAAGAGAGTCTGTGTGAGGAGATTCACTGTTATCCTTACCTTTTTATAATAATTCAGTTGTAATTGAAGAAGTCACTCTCAGACTTTGGATTTGCTTTGATTTGTACATACTTTCCATCGAAGGTGCCCAAACACAGTGTGACTTTCCAGATTTTCCTCCCACTCAGGACAGACTTTTTCACCAGGCTGTTTCATACACTTGGCACATCTCATATCGACTACAAACTGGGCCTTATGGTCCTATTTGATGAGAAAGAAATCACCATAAATCATTGCGAGTAAATGAAGTGCTAATAAAGTACATGTAAATGATCTGCACTTATATAGCGCTTTTACCCAAAGTGCTTTACAATGTGTTTCTCATTCACCCATTCACCCATTCACACACACATTCATACACCAATGATGACAGAGCTGCCATGCAAGGCACTAGCCTGCCATTGGGAGCAACTTTGGATGCAGTGTCTTGCCCAAGGACACTTTGACTGTGGAGGAGCAGGGGATCGAACCTTGCGATTGGAGGATAGTCGCAAGGTTGGCGCTCTACCACCTGAGCCACAGCCTGTGTACACATGTAATCTTTGCTAGAAATACTGTGTGTTTTCAAAGCTAAATGGACTCCCATTTTTGGAGGGTTGTGCTACAAATGGCTGTAATTGCTGTAAATATGCACATTTTTGCCAACGAGTTATTTCAAATTAAAATGTTGTGATTTAGAGTCTTGTTGAGACTTGTTAAAGTCTTGTTATAAGTGAGTTCCTGTTTTCACAAGCTATTCTAACCAAAATAGTTTACTGTTCTGTGACTACCAAAATCCAAATAAGCAAAAGTTTGCCAACAAGTTAGACCAAAATAATGGGTGATGATACAGAATGTCAGCGTTTAAAGTCCAATTTTGAATGCTGGACTTTATCACTATTTGTACAAGTTATTCTAACTGAAATATTGTCTACTTCTTTGTGATTGTCAAAATCCTTGATGAAATTGATTATGTCACTTTTCAGTATATTTTGTATTTCATTTAAAGGTTTTCCAGTACTGTATCAGAACTGTTATGAGCAGCAGAGGGAAGACTGTCAGAGCTCAGCTGAGACTGTCTTTTTGGTTATGGACGTCTGCTACAAGCAACAAAACTGTCATCAGGTGAGGAAATTCCTTCCAGGGTGACATCATTATCTCCACTACTGCTATGGAAACAGACATTCCTGCCGCTTCTTTTGCTTCTCCTCATGGCAAAATAGTCAGTATGTGTGTGTGTGGGGGCGCAGACTGTAACAATATACCAATGACTTATCGTTGCACTTCTTGCGATCGGCTTGCTTAAACATAAACACCGCGAGGCAGCTCGCTTGGCTGATGGCCATGCGTTGATGTCAGGCTACATCTGAGTCTACGGTGGCGTCATCAAGATAAAGAGCAGCGTTTGACCTCGACATGGTTGTCTTGACAGGGATGCATGGCTTAAAAGTGAGTGTTGTATGAGTGTGTGTGTTTGTACGTGTGTGTGACGGATGACAGCTCCGTACATGTAATAACGTCTACAGGCAGAACTCTGTGAATCACCATGGCATCATTGTCTCTAGTCCCAAACTCCAACACACATATGACTCTCTCTCTGTCTCTCTCAGCACTCACGCACTTTCATTATTTCCATCCCAGATTCAATAATACGTTTTTTTTTTTTGTGTAAAAGTTTCAAATTTTATTTCCAAAAAGACAGGGAGTTTGCAAATTCATAGTTTTTACATGACAAAGACATGTAGCACATACAGAGATACTGAAGAAGGGTATGGACAAGGCAAACCTGGAAGCTGTTTCCTTACTTTAGTAAAGATGCTTTCTGTGATAGGTCTCATACGTAACAGTCTAGCAACAGATGTTTAGATATTACAGACAGACAAGGAAACTATTTGTTCCACAGCACCTATCTTGAAGGAACAGTGTGACATGCTATGTCTGTTCAGCATCAAACAGAGTATCTCGTATAGAAGAGTGATATCAATTTCATCTCCAAACATTGTGTGCAGAGATAGCATTACATCTAGGACATGTTTACACCTGGACCTTCTTTCCCACAGATGAACCCAGTTCCAACATTAAGATTATCTTGACCCATTGTGGATAACTGCTCCTGGCTTTAAAAAAAAAAACTGCAAGATGGGAAAAACACGGCGAGCCATACTCCATCAAAAATTGAACAAATTTGGTAAATGGACTTCTCCTTTATTTTCTACCTTAACGGGAAAATGGCTCTATAGTTTGTGTCTCATTCACCCACCCATTTACACTTGATGATGGCGGAGCTCCCCTGCAAGGCAGTGGTCTGTACATTAGGTCCAATTTTGACATTCAGTGTGAGGTACTGATTGAACCACCAACTGTGCAGTCAGTGGACTACAGACTTTAGTCTTGCTCCAAAGTATGTGTTCCAAAACTTCTGCTTTTACATTGTGTAGAAGATAATGTACAGCAAGCAATAGGAATATATAATATACTCAATATTAATTTTTTGTGCTGGATGTGGAGGCAAAGATGGCACTGATTCGAATGAGGGTACAATTTTCATCAAGTCCCATTTTTGTTTGGCAGCACTTTATTGTGATCATACGTTGGCCTCCTAACAAAGAAAACAGGAAGCAATCATTTATTCTTTATCTAAGCTTGGACTTTTGCATGAAGACTAAGTGCTTTTATATTTGGCTATACTTTAATATGTGCCAATTGGATCGGCCACAACATTAAAATCACCTGACTAATATTCTCCTTGTACCACTAAAAGAACTCTGACCTGCTGAGACATTGACTCCACAGACCTCTGAAGGTGTCCTGTGGTATTAGGCATCAAGACATTAGCAGCAGATGCTTTAGGTCCTTGAGGCTGCGAGTTGGGGCCTCCATGGATCAGACTTTTATTTTTTCAACACATCCTACAGATGCTTGATCACATAGAGATCTGGGGAATTTAGAGGCCTAGTCAACACCTTGAACACCGTCATGTTTCTCAAACCATTCCTAAGCCATTTTTGTAGTGTGACAAAACATCGTACTGCCACCTGGGCCACCTTCTTTCACCTTTCTATCATTAAGTTTTCAGCAGCTTTTGTTACAGTAGCTCTTCTGTGGGACAAGATCACACAGGCAGCCTTTGCTCCCCCACGTCAGTTCACCAATTGTCCTTCCTTGGACAACTTTTGGTAACAACTGTGTACTGGGAACATCCCACAAAACCTGCTGATTTGGAGAAGCTCTTATTCAGTCATTCAGCCATCACATTTGGCCCTTGTCAAAGTCACTCAGATCCTCAGGCTGTCCATTTTTCCTGCTTCAAACACATCAATATCAAGAGCTGACTATTCACTTGCTGCCCAGTATATCACACTCTGTGACAGGTGCCAAAATATTCAATGTTATTTACTTCACCAGTCGGTTTTAACGCTGTGGCTGATCGGTTTTTGTTTGTTTGTTTGTTTGTTTGTTTTAACAAGATTACATCCAGAAGTCACCAATACTTTTGAACAAAACTGAACAACCCATAGTGAGGGACACAACATCCGAGAGGCTATGAGCAGTCACCAGGTCAGCTTGGTAGGTACAGGTGAACAAAAATATATTCTCATTTCTAAAGCCAAAATGCCTTCTTTTGGAATTTCAATTTCTATGTGTTAAGCCAGGACTAACTGATTTGAGGGAATGGAGCAAAGAAACTAAAGACAACACTTCCATAATTAACTTTGAAGTTGATATCAATAATATATATTTTTTTAATTTGGATTGCTTTTCTACTCTCTGTATTATACCCTTAGTGACCACTGTATATTCACACTCCCATTTATTTGGAGCTGTATTTGTTATTCTATAACACTCTAAAGATGAGGGGAACTACAGATAATTCTCTCGATAAGATCCACTCCTTTCCCATACATAGTCAATTGATGAATTGTTAATAGAAAAATATTGATGAAAGCAACTTTAAGTAAACAAAGTACAAACTAAGACAGCATTGGAGCCTCTGGGATGTTTGTTGATGCTGCTTGGTTAGCAGTTTCTCTCTGGGCTCAGTACACAGAGATAACACTGATATCAAATTATTATCTAACTGATAGTTAGACAGCAAACAACTACACTCCTCATAACTTCAGACTGTTCCTTTCAACCACACAAACAGAAAAGAAATGCAGGTGATGAAGCAAACTACGTGTGACAAGCTGACTCCAATCGTACGGCTGCTTTGGATTAATTGTGATCACAGTATCAGCGTCACTTTCATCATATGTTGTGAGGCTTTGTGACAGTTTGAATAGCAATGTGTTGAGGTGCAAAAAAAAAAAAACATCTCAAAGAAATGAGCAGTTCTGTACTGCAAGTTCAGCACCAAATGGTTAGCTATATAGTGTACCTGTAGAGTCCAGCATATTGTTGTTTTTAGTACTTTACATTAAAGCATTGTTTATCATATGGCTTCGGTACAAGTGGTCTATGCATATATTAAAACATTTATCAAAATCCTTCAAGAGATTACAAACCTAGGTGGTTTGAAAAAATATCTGTATGCCAAAATATCCACAAAGGTGTGCTCATACTCTCATCTTTGGCTAACAGCTTCTATGTGTTGATTTTTACAGCACTGGTTCTATGTTTCTGACATTTAGACATTTATTGAGGCTGCAAAAAGAAGTACTAGATTTAACAAGATCTTTCGCGTTCAGTCCGCATGCTGCAACTACACCACTTCTACATAGTTGGCTGGGTAGAGGCCCTCCCACCCACCATCCTTCATCCCCCGACACCAGCCCTGGTCATCCTCGTCCTCAATCTTCAAAAACTCCTCACCTGCAGGAAAAAGAGACATTCCATTCTTGTAATTAAGGCTTAAAGCATGTCTTTGGAAAAAAAAAAGGGTTGCAACTAAGAGTCATTTCCTTAATTAAACTGCCAGTTATTTCCCTGATTAATCCATTTCTTGTTTGGCCTGATCCAGTGCCCAAGTTGGCATCTTCTAATTACTTCTTTCGTCCGATCAGCAGCCCAAAACAGACAGCATCACAAAGATTTACTATCATTAAGAACTAAGAGAGAAAATTTCATTTTGTCTTAGTGTTAATCAATTATCAAAGTAGTTGCTAATTACGCAAATGAATAATTTCAACTTGAAAGAATTATAGTATATACAGTATGACAATTAAATATAGGTGCATACCATAATAATTATAATGTTGCATACTGTTTGTAGCTAATGCTATGCACAGTTGCGCAATTGAGTATGTTTTGTAGTTGTATTGTGTGTTTACCTGCTTTAAAGGAGAGCTCATCTGTCTCCTGGCCAACATAATCATACAAAGCTCTTACTCTCACTCCTCCAATCATCACACTAAAGGACAAAAAAAAACAGACATAAAGAGACAAAAAAGACAGTTGGATGTTTTCGTGGACTCACAGCTACACAGCATCACATTAAAACCAGTGTAGTTAGCATTAAAAGTTTCCTTGGGTTAAATCTACTCACCCCCTCTCTATTGTTCCTTTCTTTTCCCCTGCTTTCTTCCCTTTTTTGGTTTTCTTTTCAGGTGTCCACTCCTAAAAAGCAATGTGAATAAAACAAGCGTTTCTCACTGGACACAAATAAACAACAGAATTCAGCTTCACATCAAATCACAATGACCAAAACTGTGGACCACAACAATAATTACCTGGAAGTGTGGCCAATCAGTGGGCATGCCGGGCCCGTGGGTGTTTTTCCACCAGCGAAGGTCCTCTTGCTCATCGATGGCCATCAGCGTGTTGTGGAGCTCATTGTACACAGCCCTCACACTAAATAACAAGTGGTGAATAAATAAGACAACCCAGAATTAGATTTTAATCAGCTTGCTGTCACTCATATCCAAGGTAATTATCTGACTTTCCTAAAATCTTGCTGGAAGAAGCTATTTCTCTTCTAATATTCCGGCTTGTCAAACACTTATCTTCCAACAAATGCTTTGTATCTCTCTCTTCAGTCTAGATGTTTGTGTCTCAATGTTATTATTTTTCATTAATATATTTTAAACATCAGTCTGAGACAGAAAAGAAAAAATGTTATTTACAGTTGTGCTCATAAGGCTTTATAATGTGTTAGAATTTTAAAAACCCACAATGAGCAAGAACATGCTTTGCATAGTTTATGTGACATCTGGATGCTTAACAGCGTCTTTTTCTCTGATGCTATTGCCGTAATAAAAGTTTATTCACACTTCTAATTGGCAAATAATCTGCTTGCACCATCATCCAGGACATTTTACGTAAAGCGTTACCCCAAAATTAAGCAGATTAATAGACTATATAATTTCCCCCATCTACTCCATGTCCCCCTGTGGCTCCAGCAGATTTTATAAAGTAATTAAGTTGCCCTCTTAGCTATTATTTCCTTTATTAGAGTAGGAGTGAGTCACTGAGAAACACTCATGTGCTCTGATATGTAGTGGAACGGCTTTTAATTAGGGGCAAATTAAGTAAAATCATTGATTTTAACATGCTTAGCTCTAAACACACAGCCAGACAGGAGCTGCAGAGATCACTAATAACAGGAATCTGTTCTACCTGTTTAGTCACGGACATTGATCTTCATCTAATCACCAGGGACAGCTATAACTAGCACACACATGCAAAGCACCGGGGTTCACCTCTCATTGTTGGTAATGTCCAGGTGTTTGTGGATGGAGAGGAAGGCCTGTTTGAGAAATACAATCCTCTTGCGCTCCTCGTCCTGTGATTGGTCAAAGATGGACTCCATCTCTTCCATGTAGCGCGGAGCGTAGCGGTTCACCTCCTCCAGGACCTTCTCATAGCGGGCACGGACCTGTAGAGATTTCAATCAAGAATGATAGAAGTGAGAAATTTATCGGAATTAAAAAAATGATGTGAAACAAAATGATTTTCGTTGTTTATAATGCAAAGGCTGTGGCAACAAATCTGAATGAAATGTCCCAATCAAACCATTTTTCTCAACTGGAAATGTATAATGTGGGTTATATAGAAAAATTGTGACCATGCAGAAACCCTCCTCTAGAAATTCAAAACTCATTCAAAAACCAAAACAAGAATTTACCGGGGGAGCTACCTCCTCATTTACCAAACGAAACCACATTCAGTCAAGACAGTAACTAAAATAAAAACCCAAAACACTTTTCAAGTTGAACAAAATGCAAAACAAATGATGGCAGTTCACCTCCTGCGATTGATCTGGTCTCCCATAATTGATAATCAATAGGTAATTTGAATTTGACCTGATACCCCATGTAACATAATTCTCATTGGCAGTAATTAAATTAAAGCTGTGCTGTGAGGTTTGATTGTCATCAACATTGGTGCCACTGACTGTAGCATGAAACACACAGCAGGCACAAATGTTTGTGCATGCATACGATCAGGATTTTACCAGCATAGAGAAAATGTTGGCACCTCCCAATAAGTATTAGCCAGGACCAAAATGATAAGAATTACAAATTTAAAAAAATAACAATAATACATTTATGTACTGTTTTGTGTCTCTTGAAAATGGATTAATTAGAACTTCCCTCTTTTAATTATTATTATTTTCTTTTTCTTGTAAAGTATTTTGGATCGTGTTATTATTATAATCAAAAATTAAGGCGGCACAGGGGGCATAGAAGTAGAGAAAGAAAATTAGGTGAATTGTGTATGCACTTCCCTTACACATTTCTATTCTATTTGTGCTCAACAAAGACACTGTTGACAGGGTTTTTTCCCAAATAGAAGAATTATTATATATGTATGTAAGTATATATATGAAACCTCAAACTTTTAGCTGATGAAACAGATGGAAACAGAACTACAATCCCCCACTGAACACCAAATGAAAATCCATTGAATTTTAGAAAGAGGTGACATGTTTGGCACCTTCTCAGCTTCCTGTTGAGCGAGCTCTCTCTCCTCCTGGATCTTCTTCTGTTTGTCGATGGCTACGTCCGGGTTTCCCTGAGCATGTGCCTCCCGCTCCCTGGCTGCCTGCTCCTTGCGGCTCACCTTATGGTACGCCCTTCTGACTTTATCCAGCTGTGAACACACCAAAACATCTCTTTACTATCTTCTGTCATTATACAGTAGTGAATGTAGTGGGAAAAATGCTCAGGTAGAATTGCTGTCTTTCCACAGTAGCACGAGAACCATACAATCCACTTAAAAGCACTTAAGCTAAGATGCACCTGACTTTGAAAAGCACTGACTCCCAGAATACACTCATTCCTAAATAGCAGTACATTAGGACTCTGTTTTCTAAATATAGACCTTGAATTGGGGCCATTTACTTAATGAGCACCCATTTGTGATGCTGCAGTCACTTCTATTATGTATGAAGAATTGATTCTCTGAGGGGCTTGTGTATGTTTTTGATGCAAATAAGTAATTATGCTTTTGATGGATGTTCTCGGCCACTCTTAGGTCCCAGTAAAGCACGGATTCAAGTGGCTTGTCACTTTTGAATGCATAGGAGAAAGTCTTGAGAACTGACTTTGAGGCTTTAAGATCTTTGGTGAGGTCACTGAAGTCCTGGACTGGATGGGAAAATGTGAGTTAGGAATGTGACAGAAAAATGCTCCCAGAAACAAAAGCCAGTAGAAGACTGTAGCTGTACTGGGTGGATGTGGGGAAGTGAATCAATGTGAACAGAAAATTGTGGGAAAGAGCACTGATAGGGACCAGTCTAAATGTGGGCCGGAGTTTAGTGCCAAATTTTGGATGGCTTCCAGTTAATTCTCACTAAATGAAACAAACATCTGAAGGGGACAAAAGCTCTCAATGCAGTAAAGCATGAGTGCACACAAAATAGACGAAACAGTAAATAGCTGCAAATAAAACTTCCATTTCTACAGTTTTTATCTCTGCACCTTAGTGAGCACTATCACTGAGATCAATTCTGAGATTTTAATAGTAAACTACAAAGACTTACATGTCAAAAGAGGCTAAGCACATAACTGCATTTAAAAGGGTTCAAGAAAAATTGCCATCCTTTCCAGCGTGCACAGAAAGGTGGTGCTCACTGTGAAGCTTTAATGTCAGGGACAGGTTTGTTTAGGAAAGTAATGAATGTTATTTCAAAGTTGTCGTATATTTATTCAACATCTGAGCTGTGTGCTTCTAAACACAAAATTCAAGGATCACTTTGGAGAAATCGCCAAACTGGAAAAAGCAAAAAGAAGACTAATAAAACAGTATGGTTTGAAGAATTGCTGCAATAAAATAGTGTGTTAACTTGCAGCAGCAGCAGCAGCAGCAGCAGCAGAGCATTTAGATTGTGTGTACAGTATTTGTTGTACAAACAGTAAGAAAATCCAGTGCTTAAGAGGGGCTAATCCCAAACTGAAAGGTGAAGAATATGACTCTAATCCAATATAGTTTTTGTCAAATTCAGTAAACGTGTCCTCATGGTCCCCTGGCTGTCCAAGTCTGTGTATCCACTAAAAAAAAAATTAAGTGTGCCACAGCCCTGGCTCTGTAAATGGGAAACAAACAAAGTGACTTGGACTAAGCCACAAAACACTATTTCAGTGTGTCCTGTGCACGTGCATGAGCATGCACGTGCACAGGCCGAAAAAGAGGGGAAAGATAGATGGGAGAAATGGGTCGGTTGGAGCGAGGGGGATGGTAAATTTGGCTCATGCCAACAATTTAAATATGCCAACTTGCTAAATATCAACAATGTTTCTCCAGAATCACAGACTCCTTTCAATTATGTCATTAATATTTACAATATCCAATAGACTAACTTTGATGTAACATTTAGTGTCTTTGAATTCATTTAGAAGTCTGCATGGAGCTTTGAATTAATAACATGAACTGTTGTAAAACAACAGAAACTGGCCTTTGAATCTGACCTTTTTAAGGCGTTTGGCCCAAGGCTTCTGAGCACGTGCAAACCCTGTGTCAATGTCCTGGGACTCCTTGAAACCTCCAAATAGCTTCTTGTGGAAGGTGTCCTTCTGCCAGGTCCTGACCCGGTCTCCATCCTCTGACACCAGGGAGCGACAGATGGAGGCATGTAGGGAGGCCAGCCGGTCAGCTGAAGACAGGAAGCACTGCCAGGCCTTCAGAAGAGATCCATACAGAGGACCTGAAGGAGGACCACACTGTCTTAATGTTCTCTTCGTGTTTGAGAAGTACTTCAGATGACCAACTGTTATTATTAGATTAGGTGATGCCAGTTTACATGTTGGACATTGGTGTAGCAGTTACTGCACTTACTGGAGTCCACCACTGGCTTCCACTTGTTGCTCCACTCACTGAGCTGCTGGGCGTACTGCCTCTCCACGCGAGCCCTCTCCTGGAAACACGCCACGATGTCATTACAGGCCTGGAAAGCGTCTTCTGTTCGCTTCACAGTGCGCTGATAGTTCCCAGGCTGCCAGGACACAAAGAGAGAGGAAGACCCACTGTTAATGCGATAAACAGGGAGGAGAAGAAGGTTACATGACTTAATGCTTTAAACCCTAAAACTTTGAGCTTGAAAAAATGTCAAAAGTGGTCAACTTTTTTTCCAGTCTCCAGTTCCGTCTTCTGGTTTCTTTTTCTATTTAGATTCACCATTTCATTGCCAGAGAATACAGAATAATACATCTGTTCACAGTTTTTTCCTGGCAGAGTGGAAACAGCATGTGGACCATAAACTAAATTAGAGAAACTAATTTAGTGACTAAAAGTGAACAGTGAAGCTCTTCATGCCAACATGAGTCTTCTGTTTATTGTTCTTCCTGTTACCACTACTACTACCAAATCTACTGGTTATACTATAATCATTTTGCTGGTGTTGTTGGTATGAATAGTACTTCTACTAATAGTGCCACTAGCATGTTTAAAGCACTACTACTACTTCTAAATCCAGTAATCATGCTGTTATCATGCTGTTTATATGAGTAGTACTTCTACTAATAGAGTCACTGATATATTTAAACTACTAATGCTAAGTGTTGCTTCTCCTGTCCTGTCATTTTGCTACCACTTTTAGTATAAAGTATGTATGAATGGTACTGATTGCAGTATTATTGACATCCCTCTTAATCAATACTAACACATATAGTACTAACACAAGCACTGCAACCACTTAATTTTCTCATTTTTCACAATTTTTGAACAGTTTTTAATGTACACTATTTAAAAAAAAACAAAAAAAACATTTACTATTGTTTTGCAGATTTTCCCTGTTTTACTGTTTTGTTTAAATATAGGAAAAGAAGCACAGAAGAAAAGTATTATTTTACATGTTCACTGTATTTTTTTTTTTAAAGGCCAAAACTGTAAATAGAGTCCACATCTATTTTTTTTTTATTCTATGTTTTATTTTTTCTGGATAATTGCTGTTTGTTGTTGTTTTTTTTTTTTTTGTATTTGCTATTTGTTTTTTTGTTTTAAATAGTTTTTGAACATTACACTATTCTACCATTTTTCAAATTATTTTTTCAGCTTCCATTGCTGCTAGATTTTCATATATATATATATAAATAAAAGTGAAGACAGGGGACACCCTGGACAGGTCACCAGCCTATCACAGGGCTACACTTAGAGACAGACAACCAAGCACACTCACATTCACACCTACAGACAATTTAGAATCACCAATTAACCTCAACTTGTTTTTGGACTGTATGGCAGGAAGCCGGAGAACCTGGAGAGAACCCACACTGCACAGGAGGCAGAACATGCAAACTCCATGCAGAAAGATCCCGGTGCCCCCACCGGGATGTGAACCAGTGACCTTCTTGCTGCGAGGCAACAGTGCTACAAACTGCGCCACCTTGCAGCAAAGTGCAAACAGTAATGTGAAATCTATTCGTTTTTTTTGTTGTTGTTGGTTTTTTTTAGAAACGATTCTAACATTGACAATATTAACACTGTGAATTGCTCTATTACTGATTTTCTCTAAGTAACCGTTCATGATAGCATCTGACAGTATCCATGTATAGACACACACCTGCCTGTGATTTTAAGTTTAGGAACTGTGGTGTCACAAGCTCCATCACCTTTCGTTATGAGCTTCAGTAGTGAAACTACCGCTGCTAGAAACGCATTTTGTGCCTCTCAGTCCCCCGTTCACACCCATTGCAGTTAGTTGTTGGCAATCAGGAGCAATTTGTGGTTCAGTGTCTTGCTCAAGGGCACTTTGGTACCTGGACAGGAGGAGCCAGTAATTGACCTACAATCCCTTTATTTAGCGTACATCTGATGGCTGCTCTGCTGCCTCTATAACCACTACTACAACTAAATTAGTGCAACCACTAATACTCCACTCAAAGCTGATATTTCACTACTGTTTGTGGTAAATGAATGAGAGAGAAACCACTCTGATGTCTGTTGACTGAATATGAGGCTGCAGCTGTAAACACTTAGCCTGGCTCTGCTCAGAGGTAACAAAATCCACCTACCAGCACCTCCAAAGCTCCCTAATTAACACTTACATCTCATCTGTTTAATCCATACAGAGATCAAAGTGTAAAACAATCATTTGTTTTCGTGAGTATGTGCCAGAATAATTCTTGGCCAGTAACTTTCTGGAGGTTGCCTGGCAACTGCTCCACTCGTACTACAGTACGCTAAGCTAGCCAGCAGCTGGCTGCAGCTGCATGTTTACTTCACATATATGAGAGTGGTGTCAGTGTGTTCATCTAATTCTGTGAAAAAAATGTAAAAGCATATTTCTCAAAATGTCAACATTGTGGTGCCACAGTTCTTTCCTTCCTTCCTTCCTTCCTGCTAATCAAGTACAATAAGATAATGTAACAGTCTTTTTCTTTTTAGCCTTTAAAATGCAATAACCAGTTATCTTTAGACGTTTTATGTTCAATGCTACACAGTGTGTTTGTCCTTCAATATGGGTACAATTATCCATCGTCCCATGTTTGTACATATAAAAGCTGTAGATTGTCTATGGTTATTTTTATTTTATCTTATTCGACTTTTGTATATCTTGTCTTTTTTTAATATGCTTCATTGTTGTGTAGCTGCTGTAACAAATGAGGAATTAATAAGGTCTTGTCTTTATGCTATCCTATTTCTTTGTTACATTCAGGTGTGACAGTAAGTCCTGACAGTGAGCCATGCAGGTGTCTGTCCAGTAAAACTTCTACTAGTGCCACTACCTCTCCCACCACACCTCCTCCTCCTAAAAGAACTACCACCTTTTCACCATTACACAGTTAATAATGGCCCGTATGCCTTCCACAGCTGCGACACTGCTGCAGTCGTCTGAGGTCAGCCTCCACGTGCCACCAGTGACATTTTACTGGCATTAGGTTTCCTGTGGTAAACTGTGATGCCGGCAGCAGCGCGGGGTGTGGTCGGTGGACACGAGGATGAGGCCTTGCTGTGCAAATCCAGACAGAGTGAGTACAAGAGGACAGTAGAGAGGCCCTGAGTGTAATAACATATCTGAAGCAAGTGTGTTGTTTGTGGATGTGGAATTTGGAAATCTCTGCAATTTTCCTGGCAGCTGCCATCAGCGCCTGCTCACTCCTACTCTCCTTTTCACTTTTGGTCAGGCTCTATCTGTTACTCACTGACACATTTAGACAGCTGGTAGAAAAGTTCTGGACACCGTTTATGTTTTAATGTTGTGTTAAATCGTTTGAGGCAATGCACCTTATATAAATAGGACAAATACATAAAGCAGACATAAGGACGGCGTCAAAGCTGAAGTTTTCACTTGTAGAACACAGCAGTAACCAATAACATCAATAATGCAGCTCCTGTTACTGGTGTTGTGCACGTTGGCTCATTGACACGGCTTACTAGGAGAGCTCTTAATAGGGAACATATCAGACAGGATATTGTATTTCACTGCTATAACTAAAGTTAACACTGTCTGCATGCTTTTCATGTCTAATATATACACGAGACAGTGCACAGCTTTTCTCAATTTCTTGATGGCTTTAAATATTGCAACCCACAATACTTTTCTTTTTTATTTTCTGTGGCAAGTTCTCTGTAAGACGACCTTTCGTTCTCCACAGCAACAACAACTGTTCACTTTCATGTGAGCAGACCTTTGCCTCAACAGTGACTTGTGTCTGTGAGAGTATTCGAAGACCTAAATCTTTGTTGTTAACGACTAATTGACAAGGTCTTCAACCCTAGTGGGACTCTTAATTAGTGGCTAATTAAATGCATTCGCATCAGAAAGGTCAAACAGTCTTTACATGTCTAAATACATGTCTAAACATATTGGCAGCAAATGCGAAGCAAATTGCTGATGTTTTCTGCTGCACAGAGTGATCGATATGTGGGTCATGTCCAAAAGAATGTCAAATTATTCATATTTCTTAATTCAATTAGTCATTTTCTTCTTCTCTTGCCTTTTCAAATTTTTGCGACACATGTTTCTGCTTACTTGTAAATAAACTGTTTGTAGATCAAGTTTCTTATGTGAATAGCTTTTCCACTCAAAACTTTTAAAGCAGCGTTTTTGCTTCAATTTTAAGGCTTCAAGTGTCACTTGGCAGCCACATAATTTCAAGTGGTTAGAAGTTAGAGTACAAGAGTATGAAATTGTGCACCCAGACTGTAAAAGTGATTTATTGTCATACTAACAGCCTCTCAGAAAAAGCAATCACAGCACTCAGTGTGCTCTTAATGAAACACTATTTTTAAGTGCTTTAATCAGAATCAGTTGGGGTCCTTCACACCAGCAACCTCCTTGTTTCTTCCTCTCTCCTTCTTCCTTTCTTTCTTTCTGCCTCTGTTGTGGTTTGCACTGACTCTCCACACTCGTCTGCGAATTAAGCAGAAACAGCTGAGGAATCCAGTTTGAGGCCAGCAGCAACGCTGCAAAGACCCAGTTGGCCAATCTCTGAGGCTGATGCAAATCCGCTACTAGAGAATCTGTCCAAGCAACAAAATGCAGTATCAAAGAAAATGGCTACGGATCTGTGTTGAGAAATCACATCTCACATATATACCTGATCACATTCAGACTGTGAGTAAAGGATTGTGGACAGGAGGGTTCTGGGAAGTAGAAAGTCTTTTATCTCTTCTCAGGAGTAGTGAGCTGATGACCAGTCTTCTGTATACTAGTGGGTGATCTTGTTTTAGCTGTGGGAGATTGGATGATGTTATGACAGTTGGATCTACACTAGATTTTGTGTTACGTTGCTACTGATGTGCCTTGCATTTTGTATGTGGGTGGTTGTTGGATTTTTTAATGCATATATGTATTTGCATATTGTGCTTCACGTATTTAGGTTTAGGGTTTTATCTGACTAAGAGATGAATATTCTAGCTCGAACACAAAGTCCAAGTATAAGGAGTTGCTGCAAGTCAGTAGTGCTAGTATTAGTAGAAGAAGAGTATAAATGGCTGTTAGAGTCATAACAGCAATAGTTAAAAAGTAAGTGGTAGACGTTGCATTAGAAGTATTTTTAATTTTTTTAAAACTATATGCCAGATTTATGCCACTCCAAAAGGCTTTTAATGCTAAATATAGTGATGGGATGAGACACAGTACGGCACTAAATAACAGATTAAGAGAATGACTGTCACAAATGTTTGTCTTTAAAAAGGTTTATTAATCCAGTCTAATATTTTTAGTCTGTTGCAGAATAAAAACACTGTAACTTTTTGCTTTGTTTTGAAAAAAGCAAAAAGCTGTGTCCAGGATACCTGTCTGAGGACGCAATGATTCACTTTAGAGTTTGTGTCTGTGGTCACAGAATGTCCCTTTATATTAGATAAATCTATAAAAACACATATAAAAGCAGGTCTGTGAGTAAACCGGACTGTAAAAGTGTAAAATGAGGGCCTGTACTGTGTCTGAAGCAGCAGGCATGACCGGCCCGTGTATAAACTCTGCAGGATTTACCATAACTGCAAACCCATTACAGCCGCTGTGACTTTGCAAATACAGAAACAGTAGAGCTTAGGTTTGCAGTATAATGACAGACAGCCCTTGAGCATGGCGGCAGGATGACACAGACAGGAACTGGCCTGGAAACACATCCAACACAACAGGAGGCCTCCAAAATTACAGAGGGAGGGAGAGATGAAAGTGGGGCAGCCCATCGAGGCCAACAGGAGACAAAGCCAGTATTAAAGCGGCAGCACACTCAAATTAGACAGTCAGCCACTGTGGATGCTGGGAGTGTTTACAGCTTTAAAACATGGGGGCAAAATGGGGGCTGTGATTGTAAACACTGTGGATGCTGGTTCACAAAATACAATGGTGAGAAGATTGTTTCTGGTGGAGATGAAGGCGCAAGTACAAATAAAGTCGAATAAAACTTTGAAACGGCGCTTTTGCTGACAGGACATGTCATGCGCTGTCTAGATACATCTAGGCTTCACTGGAGGACAACACTACAGTAATTAGTGGAAATTGTTATAAGCAAGTTGCTACACTATTTATTTACTATGTCATATGATGTATGACTATCTTTATATCTTTATTCCCTCTAGGTCACAGCAACAAAGCTATCGCCTCTTGGATTGATGTTGTACCCTGCAAAGGAAATGCTGCAAAGACTCTGAACTGGCTCTCAATTTTGCTCTCAGCAGTCTGTGTTTTAGAAGTAGCATTTGCCATTTTTGATGCTGAATAGTTTGTGTAATGCACTTGCAAACAATATTATAGTGAAAAAAAAGTTTTAAAAAATTATACTTTAGCAGCTGGGTTGCCAAAAAAAAAAAATACTGGAAAATAACAGGAAATAATCATCTCACAAATACAGTAATTTTCCATCATTCAAAAACATTTTGTAGCTTGAATTTTACAGGAGATCATGTGGACTTTTTGGCATTTTGATGTTAAATGTCAAATATTTACATGTGTAAAAACAATAAAATTACATTCAGTATATAAATTTCTTTCCAACAGTGTATCTAAAGACATAATTTTACACTTTGGTAAACTGCTTATTCACTTTGTTGTGAGTGTAATGACATAACATGATTGATGCCACTCCGTTCGATATCTCACTTTAATTTAAATCTACAGCCTGTTGGTTTAGCCTTGTACAAAGACTGGAAATGTGGGGAAACAGTTTGCCTGGATCCGTCCAAAGGTAACAAAATCTGCATACCAACACTTCTGCTGCTGAAGAACTGAGGTCTCGTTGCCAGTGGAGACTCCAGGAAATCACTGCACCTGCTCAAGAAGTAGTCTGGGACATAACCCCATGTGAAACTACAGACTTTAGCTTTTGTACGGAATAATTCTGATATTTAGAGGTGCTGGTAGATGAATTTTGTAGCCTGTGGACAGAGCCAGGCTCGCTGTTTACAGGAAAGCACATGAGAATATTAAGAATATTCTCGAAAACTGCTCCTTTAAGCCACTGAAACAAACATCTTCCCTAATAATGCAGGAACATTTATTTTTTTAAAACTGCAAAAGACAGCATTAATAAAAACATCAAGCTGTAGCACTGTAGTTTAACAATGATCTGGCAGACAGCAGTGAAAATGGAAAAAACTTGTCCAGGATCCCTCAGAGACATGACCCCCAGGGCTTTGCAATCCACTTTGTCGAGCAAACACACACAATCAAATACCTAATTAGCCGAACACTTTCACAAAAACCCTCTGTGACATCCAGGCGAGGCTGTCCAGAGAGTACAATGGTTCATATTAAAAAATGAAAGCACAGCCTTGTTTACAAAGATACGCAAGCCTGAACGACAAAACAGTTTGCTGTGTTTTGACTGGAAGGTCATTCAGATTTGCGATACCGAGGGAAACACTATCTTGTGTGACTCCCTGTACTGTCATGAGACATTGAGGCAGACACACACACACACACACACACACACACACACACACACACACACACATAAACATGGAGTTCACATACCATCCAGAAGCTGCGATTGTTGACATCTTCAGGGCTGTTTTCTGACGGCAGCGTCGACATCCTGTTCTCTGAGAAGGTAAAGAGTACATGGTTAGTTTAGGCTGCCTTTTGATCTGCACACTGACCTCTATGTAATCTTCTCTTACTTACAGGTAATGGAGGCTTTGGGGCTTTTAGCAGCAGTGTCAGTATGTAAGTATTAAAATGCCTGAATGATCCCAGTGAAGAATTAGTTCATGTCCCCACCTGTAATGTAAATGGATTCCTAACCTCTCTGTGTATCAGAGATGCCACATAACCCTGTCACATTAACTTAAGTGTCCCTCAACCCCTTTTTGAGCTGAATATTTAAATATAAATGGAAAAAAGTGGATATAATACAATGCTGCTATATGTTTTCATGCAGATTGGTTTTGTTGAGATTGCATTTGCGTTATCGTGTGGACATTTAAGCCATATCCACTGTTAACTATTTCAATCATTATTGCAATCTGTTCTGTCATTCATCAATTACTATTGCCAATAACTATGAAATCTATAACTTTTTTTTTTTACTATATTATTATCAAAAGTACAAAATCCCATCATCATTAGTAACCAAACTAGCTTTTTTTTGATAAATTCTTTAAGAATGTAATTTGTGTTGCTCGTGCACAGTGTTCTTATGTGTACCTTTAATGGGTTACAGAGCAACTTATATTGATTCACCATTTTGTTTTCATACAATGCGAACTTCTGAGCCAGAAACATTGTATGTCTGGCTAGCACAGGTACAGTATTCATTAGGTTGTGATTACATTCCTGTCTTTTTTTGGAGAACCCCAATAAACCAAACCCACTTCTAACTTCTAGTCCTCACTTCTGGCTCTGTCGCTTAGGTGGTGAACAGGGAGGCAGCTGGGCTCCATAAAGGTGATGATCCAAATCCTCCTGTTAACAGGCTTCATCTACTTCACTGAGCTAACAATTTCTGATTAGTCTAAACTAACTGCCTCTCTGCTCACCTACTAAGTACTCCAAGGACTCAAGCTTTGAGTAAACTCTCCCGCAGATGTGTACATGGACAACTACAGGCATCATGAACATGTAGTTGTTCTAAATTGTACAACTCTCTAGTTCCCTTGGAGAACTTTTTTCCATAAATCTGCACTAGATTGATATCTACATATTCTGCATATGCACACCACTGCCCTTGTAGGACAGCGGCTGCATGGTCACAAATGTTATGCTGCTTGTGGACTTTTGCGCACTTGGGCAGATGACGAAATTAACTCGGACGTTTGCAGACCCTTGTGCATTCGCAGATGCAGAAAGCATTACTCTGGCCTCACTGCAAGTTGTACGTTCTGGTTATAAAGTGCATAAAAACATGGACAAAGCCAGAATGACTTCACCATGGTTGCAGACAAATTAAATTAAAAAAACAAAACAAACATCTGTAGCTTTTTCTCAACCTCAATGGAAAATGTCACAAGCTTAAAGGAAGAGGTGAAGGAGAAGGACAGAGAAGAAGATGATCGTGGTGCTAAGACAGTCTGACTGGTCTCAGCTAGCCTCCCTAATCATACCACAGCGGATGTTATAAATGGTGCATTGCTTACAATGTTGCTACCGCAAGGAATTATGGGACGACATTGTCTCCTTTCCTTTTTTTAAAATTATGATCCAGTTTATCCTGTGCAAAAGGAGACAAAAAAGGAAGCACTGCAGGACCTTTCATTAGAGTTTAAAGAACCAGCTTTTATCATAGCTGCTACTTTGACACATACGGGTCATTTCACTTATTTAGACACCTACCAATGCAAAAATGACTCTTTGAGTTTGGTATTTTGGACGTTGGCATCTTGGTTTTTGAAACCAACCATTGAGGGCCATATCCTGCTTTATAATCTATCTCACTCTAAGTGAGAATATAATTTACAAAATGAACATCCGAATGTATTGAGGGAGAGTTGAAACAGGCCGTTAAAACCATAAATGCGTCAGGAAAATATTTACCGAGGTAGCAGTTTCAAGGTCAGGTTAGCTTTTTTTGTAACCAGAGCAGTATCCCCCTGCTGGCCATTAGAAAGAATGCAGGTCTAAGCTACTTCTGCATTCGTCCTACATAGCCAGACATGTTTCTACAGTGCTGTGTTGGCATTCTGCTATAGTGGAAAAAAACACTCTGTCTTGTTTATATTTCTTTAAACCTATCACAGGCATATTGGACAGTGCTAAGCCCAGGATGCAGGGATGATGCCCCTCCAAAAGAGCATTGGAGGTATGTGTTTTAGTGCAAGGTTTGCTCACAGATATACAAGTATTGCCATGAAGATGGCTACTTCATTGTGAGAACCAAGCAGTACTGCCTTATTGCACCATCTACATCTTCAACATGTAGGTTGTTGCTTGGGAGTTGTTTCCCAAAAGAAATGGGGTTTTAAAAACAGTGGAATGGAAGGAGATAGCAGAAATGTCAAACCTCTATAGCTTGGCTTCACTTTTCAGACTCACAGGCTACATCCAGTTTTTATATGGAGTCTGTGTTTCAGGTTTTAAAGCTGACTCCACTTCCTATGTACCTCTTGGCAACAACAGAAGTCACCTCTGGGGTACCCTTGGTTGGGAATCAATATTCTACTGTGTATCTATTTGAGGCTGTATGATATAAAAGCATTTGATATCCCCACACACAAGTGAGCAGTGCACACTTGTCAGGATAAATGTGAGGACGTACAGCAGGTGTAACACATGAAACATGTTACGGCAGCTGTTTGTGGCCATTTCAGTGTTGGCACCGCTTTATGAAATCGATGTGTACAGTAAATTTGAACCAGCAGCCGTACAGTATATGGAAGCTGCTTATCTCGAGCTATGACAACACCAGCAAGCATGGACGCTCCTCTCCCAGCATTCCCAGCTTTGAAACATGAGCTTTCCTAAAATAAACAGGGGCTAAGGGTCAACACATCCTATCATCCACAGACTTTCTTCCCATGCTGGTGGCCTTGTCTCTTTTATTGCGAAAAGAAACAACAGCACGCTCTCAAATCCACATGTTGAGAGATACTTAAAGGAATCCGTCTGGCTCAGAATGAGTGTTACTTTAAGCTCATGTGGTTCCACTTCAAAAACAGAAACTTTTCTAGTTAAATATTTAAGCACACAGCAGTTTTGCCTTCTGGTGTCTCAAACCCTGGATGCACTCGATGCTGAACTCCACCCAGACGGAGGCTTCGCGTCTCCTCCCTGCAGCCATCTCTCCTCATGGCTCTGCACAATTAGATTCAATGATTTGACTCCATATCCTGCCGTTCACGGGGCATCACATGCTCCACCAGCAGAATAATGTCACGCTTCTCCTCGCCTGAGTCTCCCTCAGCTCGCTTCTCTCTGCCGCTGAGGCCTCATGGATTACACAACCCAGAGATCTGCAGGAGGTCACAAAAATAATGAATCACCTCCCTTTTAACCCCTGACCTTCACTTCCCGTCTCCTCACTGGCTGGCTTTTCCTCAGGGGGAGTTTTTCTGAGTAACATGGGGGTGGGGGAGCTCTGCTGTCCAGGCTTAATATTCAATAATGGGGTGAGATTTACAGGAACCTGTTGACTTTCAGTGAGTTTTACAGGTTGCAACCAAATTGTCAGTGCAGAGCCTGTAGAAGCACAGGAAGGTAAAAACTTCAACCTCCATTCTGGCTCAGCTGTGATCTGCTTGCACGCCTCTCACATATGGTTTCTTCACTCTTTCTAAGCATTAAGCTTCGCTCTGTGTGTAAGAGAAAGCATGCTGTGCAGCTCCACGTCCACTGGAATCAATTTGTTAGCCACATCAGCCTTTTGAATATGATTTCATAGCTTTAGAATCAATTTAAACATCATCGAAAAGGGTGGAATTGGCCCAGATTTTGCCAAAGCCTTATAACTTAAGCCTAAAATCTTCAAATATGTATAAAAAATGAAATAAATTGGAGTTAGAAAAGCCTGGCTGTACTTTCCAGTTGGCTCTCTGTGCCATATTTCATATTTGTGAGACATTTCTTCATACTCCCTACTCACTGAGTTGCTTTTTTATTTTTTTTTCAAATGTTTTTTAAGTGCAGCAAAGAGTTTAATATATGACTTACCGCCTACAAGCACAGATATGTATCTACAATGAGTCCTCCAGACTGTTTTATAATCTCTTGGCACATAGGAAATTTGTTCCCCAAGTTTTCAAAAGTCAACTATCGATCCGGTAACTTGTGTTTCGAACTGAAGCTTTCAAATATGACTTCAAAGCTTTTACAGTCACTTTAAACTGCCTCTAAAAGACTGAATTTGACCCAGATGTTGCCAAATCCTCATAAATATACCCTTATAAAATGTAGCCGATATAAAACATGAAATAAACTGAAGTTGGAAAAACCTGACTGTACTCTCTAGTTGACTTTTTGTCATTTCTGATATTTGTGAGGCATTTCGTTTTTTTTCTTATTTGCAAACTTTCAAAAGCTTTAAAGATTGAATAAGTGCTAAAATATGCATGAAGTGCTTGTTTTTTTTACTGTCAACTATCAATTCAGCAATTTGCATTTAAAACAAGCTTTTAAGTGTGATTTTTCAACTGTTGTATCACATAAGCTTTCTTATAACTATAACCTTACAGCTTTTAAAATATCTCAGAAATGAAACAAACTGAAGTTCGACAAGCCTGACTGTACTTTTCTGACATTTGTGAAGCAAGTCTTTATATATATTCTTACTTGCAGACTTTTAGAGAGCTTTAAAATTTGCTAAAAGTGGTGAAATACATGTCAAGTACTTGTTTTTTCACAGCAGGGAGTTTAATATCTGACTTACCGCCTACAAGCACAGATCTATATCCAGCATGAGTCCTGCAGACGTTCGTTAAAATATCTGCATGTCAGATGCCAAATTTGTGCCCCCAGTTTTCAAATAGTCCACTATCGATCCACTAACTTGTACAAACTCAAACTTGCAGCGTCTAAAACTCCAACTTTACTCTTGAAAAACTAAACCTGGAGTCCATCTGGAGCCTGCAGCCAACCAAACTCTTTCACCCCTCGATGCTGCACAGTTTCTGGCACTCGGACTCACTCCTCCCTCTGTCCCCGTTTCATCTGTCACACATAACTCAGCACGCATTGCATCGAGGAAAAATATAGCAACAAGTGAACAGAGAGCAGAAATAGGAGCTGCATCACTGAAATGCAGCTGCTAACAAGTTCCTTACCTCTGTGAAAAGTTGGGGCCCCACTTTGATCCTTTTTCTTCTTCCTTTGTTTGTTCACACTTTTTTTCCTCTCTCTCTCTCTCTCTGTGGAGACTCTCCTGCTTCTTTCTCCTCCCTGTCTTGTCCTCTTTACACTCCTCTTCACCCTCTCCAACTTTGATTTTCCACTCGTTCTGGGCAGCGCTGCTCCTGCTCTTCCCCTTTCTTTGGCCCACTGTTTGTGTCAGATGAGTTGGCTTTTTTTTCTTTTTTTTTTTTCCCCTCCCTCCCCCCGAAGTCTCTCTCCTCCTCTTTCTCCCTCTAAAACAGCTGCAGCAGACTTATTCTCTTGTTCTTTGTGCGTCACCACTTGTTCGTCTCTGTCGTTTTCTGTTTCATTCACTCGCCTCGCCTCCCTCAGAGGACTCCTAATGAACTGTGCCACATCAGGGTTTCCTTTTTTGTTGTTGTTTCTTTGTGCACGTCTAAGTGAATCAGACATTAGCTGAGTCACCCAACCAGCGTCTGTTTATGTATTCTATGTGTGTTAATAGGCCTATTAACTCTGTTTTACCATTTTACAGAGAGGCACAAAGCAGCACGACCAGATAAGAGCACCTTCATCCCTCTGTGCTCGTCTTTAACCCCCCTTTTGACTCCCCTCTACATTCCCTGGGGATAGTTTGCTCGGCCGGCCTCCACAGCTGGAGGACACATCCGGTGGGTGTGTGTTAAAGGCAGAGAGGTTTTTTTTTTGAAGTCAAAGACCCCTAAAGAAGAATAGTTCACATTCACACACCCTGCTCCTGGTGACATAATGCCTCCTGCTATGCTGAACTTGTGAAACTTGCCAGAACATGTCATGTAAAATAACCAGACAGCTGTGCGTTGCTGCGCATACACCTGGCTGCAACCTGCCTTTTAGGAAATCCGCTGTTAGTAATCCTATAATCAAATCTGGAAGGACAGGAGACGCATATCATGACAGCACTGTGAGATCCTGTAATTAAAATGATAATAGCCATAAGAGACGCAAAACGTCAACAAGTGGAGTAAAGGTCCTGATAACTTCACCTCGCATTCAGATTTCTGTGGGAAACGTACAGTAATATGAGTGATCACGATACATGTTTTTAAATAAATGGACAGAATAAATTCAGATTTTTTCCCCCTTTCTTAAAATATACTCACTTAAGTGTGTCTTTACTACACAGAAACCTCCAAGACTGAAAAGTGATGCCAGCACTAAACTGCAGTTCCTCAAATGTCCACTGGAGGCTGCCACCAGCAGCGAGTCAGTCCCCACAGACTTCCATGTTAAAATGCCCAACTTTACAGCAGAAGTAAACATGTTTATAGCCTGGAACAAACTACTATTATGGTCTCTGTGGCTGCTTTACACATTCATGACAACTGTATGGGACTGATTTTTTTTTAAATAGCTCACCTCTTTGAATTGTTTCAACACCCTTAACGTATTGTATGTCACATTCATTACTGGATCAGCTGAAAGGACTCAGGTAGTGATGACGTCCACGTTTTCAAGCTTTATAATCAATTCAAACATCATCTAGAAGGGTAGAATTGGCCCACATTTTTTTTTTGCCAAATCCTTATAATGTAATCTGAAATCTAAATAAATATACATGCAAAGTGTGATAAACTGAAGCTAGAGAAGCCTGACTGTATTTTCCAGTTGACTCTCTTCACCCTGCGTTCCAAGTTGCATACTTTTTGTTTTCCTTTTTGATACACACTGAAGCTGCCCTTAAAAATTCCCGACTGGTGCATACCATATATTGCACCTCAAGCTTTGGCCGTCTTGCTCATCTTGGCATATCTGCTGCAGAGGATTGTGGGTCAGAATGGCCAGAAAAGCATGCAGACTTGTATCCTGCAGAATGCAACCAGTTGTACCAGAAGATCCTGATATTTTTTAGCAGGCTGCATTTGATATACTATGTTTTGTAAATATGTTCCTGGTATCCTGTATAGCATAGTGGTACTGCTCTTTAGGAAATCTCTGGGTGATGTGACAGAGGGTTAAATCTTCTTTATAAACACTTTATGATCTTTATGCTTTCCACAAGAAAAAAAAACTAACACTTCATAACACAGCTAATAAATTAAAAAGTAATTTTGTTGTATCCCATACGTCTAGCATATTCTTCTGTTTCCTTAACATCTAGCTGTAATACGTTACTCATCAACTCTACGGTTTGTGCAGAACTTCAGTGTTGTTAAGACCATTTTCCCCAAACTTCACTTCTGTTTCCCCGGATGCACAGTGTATACATAATTCATCTCTTCTCTCCTCCACAATGCCCAGTTCTACTAACTTATTCCACATCATCTTGTTTCCTTTCACAGTGTTGAAAGAGGTTTTCAGATCCTTTACTTAAATAAAAGTACCAATACGGCAGAGGAGAAAGTACTCCATTACGAGCAAAAGTCCAGCATGAAAAGTTCTACTTAAGTAAAAGTACTTAAGTATTAGCAGCATGATGTTGTTAAAGTTTGTTTCCTCTGGCTGATATTACTGTATCTGGCCTCATTAGATTATTAATAGTGAAGCATCAGTGTGTTACTGTTGTAGCTGCTGCAGGTTTCAGATACTTTGTATGCAGTTTTATATTCAGAGACAGCAGATACATCGAAGGAAAGAAGAAAAATCATTTTGATACACAAATTTGGTTTTAGTTTCTCTTTAATCTTTGATTTTTAGAAAAAAAAAACTCTTGGATCATTTGAACATTTATTGAAATGGAACCAGGCGGGGAGTTTGGAGAGAAAAAACCGTTGCTTTGCAGAGCTATTGACAACTCACAGAATCTGAAATGCAGTTGAGTAGAAGTATACAGACGCATAAAATGGAAATTGTTCAAGTACAAGTACGTCAAACTTATTCTTAATTGCAGTACTTGAGTAAACATATTTAGTTACTTTTCATCTCTGCAGGCTGTATAGTGAACTGTGATGGAAAAGAAAGTATCCCAAGACAAAATGCTTTGTTATTAAAAGAAAAATCTGGATTTGTATTGTTAAATAAATACAAAATGAGACTATAAAATTCAGATGACAAAACTAAACCTAGAACACAAAAATGTAAGAAAGTGTGGGCATTTATATTTTCAATTGAACCGACAATTTCACGTAGAACAGGCTAAATAACACGAGGCTTAAGAACCTTTATTTTATTTTACTTTTTTTTAAAGGCTTGGCATAAGACACCCAGTGTACATTTACCTTTTACAGGGCCTTCTGTTCTCACCTGGTGGACGTGTGGCAATTAGTGAAAACACTGAACTACATCAACGGTTTGCTTTTGCTTTATTCTTTCGAGATATTTTATACTGAAAACTGAACCATCTGCTGCTCAGACAATAACTAAACACATCCTGGAAGAAGTGATTCCAGACTTGTGTAACTCACTCACTGTGTGTTGTCATCTCTGTTGTGTTAAGTTTGGATCAAATTCTATTAACTGATAACTTTAAGTTTGCAGCTCTGGTTTTAAATACTGTGGCAGATTTTTATTTTTTTTATTTTATTTTTTTGCTTTTTAAAGGCTGCAATGTGCTTTGCTGGTATGTAGGATGATATGTTTCATGTCTAAAATGACTTTTCATGCAGTCATAGGTT